GACCATTTCTCATCTCAATAAATGAGAATTGGTCAGCACAGCTCCTTAAAACATAAAACTAGGCACTGTCTTTGATATGCCTGTCTCCTTCATGTCCTGTACACCTTGATCATATCATCAATATTGCTGATAGCTAAATTCTGATTCTATGTCTACTGCTTCATCTCTACTATCACAGTCCTACTCAAAGTTACGTCTTGTTTCTCTTGAATTTTATAAAGGCCTCTTTATTGGTTTGTCCTTTATGCTCTGAAAGTCTTCTCCTACATTTTATTTGACCACTTTTTTCTCATCCCTCAGCACTCCAAGAGATCTTTCCTATCCATCCTCGCTAAATTTATGCCCTCTACTTTCCTTCTCCCATCACTTTATTTTGTTTTCTTTAAAGCAATTATTAGCTGGAGGAGTGGCTCAAATGATAAAGTACCTGCCTAGCAAAGCCTACCAAGCATGAGGCCCTGAGTTCAAGCCCCAGTACCACAAAAAAAAAAAGCATTAAAGCAATTATTATAATCAATGATGGAGGTGGATTTTCCTTTAATACAACTGTTAACATTTCCTTCTTTTCTGTATATTCATGCTGCTCCTCCATTTAAAAGTGGACTTTCTCCTCCCTCTAAGTCTGGGTTAGCCTGTGACTTGATTTGACAAGTACAGTACAGAATATGTGACACTTTTAGTCCTACCCTTTAAGGGTAATAACCGTTTCCACTTTCATTTGGAGACTTAAGCTATCATATAAAAAGTCAGACAGACAACTCTCAGCTACAATTGTCACACATCACAATATTGTCAGGAAAGCATAGTTTTGGATGATCCAGCTCTAAGTGAAACTCAGATGAATGCATCCCTGGGTTGGCCCAGTCAACACTCTATAGAGTAGAAGAATTACCTGACTGAGCCCAACCAACCCATAAAATCATGATTATTGTTTTCTTAGATCAATAATTTTTATAATGCTTTGTTTTACAAAAATTGATAACTGATACCAAGAAAAACTGATACTAGAAGTGGAGTGATGTCATTCTAGAAGCCAAAATATGGCCTTTTCTTTGGAACTGGTGGTGGGCAGGGCAAGGAATGTTGCATGGAGATGGATGACAAGGGCTGGAAAAGCAATGAGGAAGTCGCTACTGGGTGCTGGAGGAAGTGCAACTTTTGTTATCAGAATAGAGCTTAGGTGACATTTTGCTGGCAATAGCATGGAAGACAGGAAATGTACCTAGCGTAAGTGGGACACTAAGAAGATTTTCCCAAAGAATGTTGAGTGTCATTTATTTTACTTTATTCATCTATGACATTGTAAGAAAAACAATTTAAATGAGAAATTCTTTTCAAGCAAAAGTAAGAAGTTTGGCCAAAACAATGTCAAAGGGGAAAATGATCTCAGAGGAAAGAAATCAAATGCAAGGTGCAGCCTTATAAAATATGACCTCAGGGTCAAGCTCCAATCAAGGATGCAGCTGTCAGACTCTTTAGACCTCAAAAAAGATTTAGGGTAGTGACCTACAGATGCTCTCAGTCAGGCAAAGAAGCTTCAAAGAAGCTTACAGACATTCTTCCCAGAAGCCTGACATTTTTTAAGTAAAGAGAAACATGTCTCCAAGGAATCATGAATGTGACTCTTGGAGCATACCATAAATCTGAATAAGATTTATAGAATTTTATGACTCTGAATGTCTTAAGCAAAATGTTACTGGTAATATTCCTGCCAGTTTGGAGTAAAAGGGACACTGAGAGGTCAAAATGAAAAAAAAAATGCTCCTGAGTGTCCCCAATTCAGCATAAGCTGGAATCAGGAAGACAGAGCTACTCCAGTGCAAGCATAAGCCATTTATCAAGGAAAGGGAAGGATGGTGACTCAGAGGGCAAAAGGGTAGAGGCAAGAATCAAGAACAATGGATTAGTTCATGAGGACAGAATTGGGCCATAAGCAAAAAAATATTCTCAACCCTTGGAGTAAGAGTCTTAGTAATACAAGTTCAAAGAGATTTCAGAATTTCAGAGAGATAGAGTTCAAGTTTCTGTCTGCCCACTATTATTGCTGCCACTCTTTTGACTGGGAGTGCCTGATAGAATTTTCCTTTCTCTGCCTCAGCATAGTATGTTGGATGATGGGAAGGTGAAATGACCTGTCTATTCAGTTCACAGATCTTCAGATTAGGAGGAGATATGCCTGAAGAGACCCATGTAGGTCTAGACCAGATTTAGATGACAAGATTCAGGAGTTTGAAGCAATTCTATAACAAAATGGTACTTGGAGCAGGGAGTGAGAGTATTTTGTCCATGGTAAAGGTGTGAATTCTTATGGCCAGGGGCAGATTGCAAAGATTAATTAAATTGAATAAATATGGCCACTAGAAATCCCTCCTCTATGTTTATACATATTCTGCTCTGCCTACCAAAAGTGGAGTGTGCTCTCCCTTCTGTTGAAGGACTGGCTTTTTTGACTCAAATTTATACTGACTTGTTTGCTCATTTTAACTAATAAAATATGGACAAGTGAGAGTACGCCCAAAATGGCCAGCCTTTAAGAACCTGACAGCTTCTACGTTAGTCTCTTAGAAGCCTGAGCTATACATAAGAGTATCAGCTATTTGGATGGAGAAAAATCTCATCAAGCTGACAGCAGTTATGGCCAGCCAGGTTGAGGACACAGATATGTAAATGATGCCATCTTGGATGCCCACTGAAACGCTCAGCAAATACAGTAGTGTAAGTGACCCCAAGAAAACGACACCAAACAGAAGTTTGGTCATCCAGCTGAGCTCAGTCACACCAAAGAATGCAAGCAACAATAACTTCTTGCTATTTTAGGAAGCAAAAATAGATAACTGATATAGAAATTATCACATTTCTTTCTTTGGTTACTTATTCTTTGAACAAAAAATATCTTAGATATGCTTTGAGGATTCATAAGGATAAATTATTAACTCATATAAGTCAAGATACTATTTGCATACATGAAAAACTAACTATAAGTAAGCTAAGCAGAACAGAATACATAAATAGAAATTGTGAAGCTCTCAAAACCTCAGAAAAGCCAGATAACTGCACACCCCATTTTTAGACCTTATAGGTAACTATAATTCTAACATTATAACTTATGATTTTTAATTGTCCTATCTCCTATGTTTATTTTGAATATTATTTAGTTCTTTTCTGGTTTCTAAATTTATGTGAATAGGATATAAACTTATTTAGCTCAATGTTACATTTGTAGGAGTCATCCACACTGCAGCTGAATACATCCATACTTATTTTCATTATATTCCATTATATATAATTTTTCTTGATCCGTTCTACTGTTGGTAGCATTTCCCTCCATACTTTGCTATAATGAAAATGATGCTGTGCAGATTTCCGTGTGTGTGTGTGTGTGTGTGTGTGTTAAATCTAATTTACTTCTAAAAATAATTGTAAAGAACTATTAGAATATCTTTAAGGCCTATAGATTTTAATTTTTTTAAATTTCTAATATGAAGAATATTTTGTCTTTTGTTTCATAAGTTCCTACTTAATTGTATTGTGATCAGATAGCATAATATAACAATGACTTAGAAACTCAATAACCCTATTGGGTTATTTAATATTGGAGAAATTTAAAACATGCAATGTTATCCCTATAATATATCTGTTAGATACATCATTTGTGATATGTGATATAATGTATGATAGACATAAAATGAGGCAATCATTTAGTATTGAAAATAATTTTCACCCACAAAATGTATAGCACACTGTATCATACTACATGAACTGAATCTTCAGGGAACAAAGTTTTGCTAAAAAGCACTGACTCCTCATATAGGCCCCCAAGTTAACTAAAAGCAGAATAAATGCTTAGCATCCCTGCCTTTATTTTACTTCTGTCTACATTGTTCTGAACAATTTTCTTCTGCAGTCACTGTGGATTCCAGGAACAACAGGACTGATCAATAAGGGACCTAAGCTACCCCCAAGTAACAGCAAGCCCCAAAGACAGATCACTACCCCCAAAAGAGTGTAATTACCTATGATAACATGCTGTACCCTGAAGCAGGAGCAATTATTTCATAGGAACTGGGTTGTTCCCTCAAGCAATAAAGACTTCTAGCTGACTTAAAGAACCAGAATTGAGATAATGATCAACCAGACCACAGTTCAACCAAGGCTTCTCAGTTATGCATATTTCTTGCCCCTGTCCTAATTCTTCCACTATTTAAAGCTACAGCTCACACTAGTACCCCAAAGATGTACTTCAGGGATCACTGGACCTCTAGTTCTAGTCTTTTCATGACCACATAAATTAAATCACACCAGTCATCTCTTTAATTGGTGTATTGGGACAGGTGGCTGAACCTAGCCTGTTGGGGCTCTAAGAGTGCAAACTTTTGCCCTAAATTTCTGGTAAAAATAATATGTACAGTAACTATTTTTTTGTGATGCGTGGAGGTGTTCTTTATTAGCTAAGCAAACTATCAATTTCATAAATACTTTGGTGTTCTTGAAAATACAGGTTTCCTAAATGTTGATTACATTCTAATAAACTTATGTTTAAACTACTTGATTTATTTTCCCTGCTTGACCTATCAATAGAGGAGAGAGATGTGGTGAAATCTCTCATTCTGGTGGCAGATTTAATTTTTCTTTTAGGCTTTGTCCACATTTTTGCCTTATATATTTAGAAACCATTTTTATAATTCATAATTGTTTTGAAATATTCTATCCTTTTGAGTAATTATGTTTGAATACATAGTAGCTTTTGAACCCTCAGTAATTCCTTTTTTAATGTCATTTTGCAATCTGAATTTTTTTTCATGTCACTCTGAATGCTGAGGCAAGCTATAGACCCAACCCTGAATTAGGCTGTTGTGTAAAGCCTGTGGATTTGTGATGCAACATGGATGCTCTTCAAGAGGAAATTGGGGGTTCTAATAAATGCACTAAGTCAGCGTAACAACTTCTAAAACAAAGTCAACAATCTTTTTTACATTTTTGCTACCACACTTTTCGTCCAGGGTCCCTCCTTCTTTGGAGTTGGAAACCATATTTAAATGTTACATGGCCTATACAACTTTTGTCTATGGATCTGCCCTGAAGTGGGAGGACCTGAGTCGGGCTGCGGTAAGATCTATTTCTTTCTCTACTCTTCTTTTCCGTAAGATGCAATAACTAAGGGAGTGAGGTGCATTGCTATTTCAAAAGCTATTATGTTGGTTCCTTTAACTGGGGGGAAATATAGCCTCCTTAATTTTAAAAGTTGGTCTGAAAAAAAAAGTGTAGTAATTCACATCCAAATCCTCCTGGATAAATACCAAGTTTATCTAGACCTAGACCTATATTTAAATTATTTGTTTAACTACATTCTCTATGACAGTGTTATTTTATTAGCCTAAGAGATCTGAAAAAGTTAGATAGCAAAAGTGTGTTTGATCTCATCACCCAAATAGGGTTCTTACCAGAAGACAGATTTCTAAGAGTCCACCAACTTTGACCAACTTCTCCTAAACATACTAATACACCTGGCGATAGAACAAACAAAGGAAAAATAGAAGAAATCCCATTAAGGCTGGAACTACACATAATGAGCAGTAGCCAAACTTCTAGTCAGGTTTAGAAATCCAGCTTCTTGTCATATTCTAAGTTTGACAGAATCAATAAATCAAATGTTCAAACTAAGAGCTATAGAGTTAATACAAAGGCTTGATGCAGAAAATGACAGACCCAGCATAATATTTCTCTTTTTACAACTTAATACTGTAGGAGCCATTCCAATAATTTTCTAGAACCTTCAGATTCAGAATCCAAAATATTGAGTGGATGACTGTTTATCTTGGCCCAGTCATACTCACAATTGCTCTATTCTTTGCTATCTTAAAAGACAATTAAATATACAGACAGTTGGTAAAAAAAAAAACTCTCATTGCTCATCAGCAGACATAAAATAATGTAGGTGGATGGTGCTTTATTTACCCATTTGAAGCAATCTTAGATCTGTGTAACATAATCTATACCCTGCTTCATCAACTGCCATCTTCAAAGCCCTGGTAGCACTTGCAGAACTATATCCTGATATAAAGACATCCTGATCACAACTCCTTCCCAAGCGTGTTCCCTTTCTTGCTGGCAATATTATGATGAAACCATAAGAAAACCCAAAAATGGGAACATAGAGTATTCCCCATGTAATTAACCAGATGGCTGCTGTTTAATCTTTAAGAGTAGGTGGAGTATGCAGAAGCATGCCTGATTATAGCCAACCCTTTGTGCAGTGACTCTCACGCTGAAGACACTTCAAACATTATGAGGTAAGAAGCAGGCACTGTACTCCAATGTTGACCATTTTCTGTTCACTACTAAAACAAATCTCAGTGCATAGGATGTGTCATCTACCACAGCACTAGGTTTTTCATATTCCAGGTTTCTGCTTATTTGTTTTGCATACCACCCCTAACACTGTGCAGATGGATGCAAAAGGAAATGGAAATAGAGCATCCTGACTGTATATGCACTTCTCCATGTTCTTCCCTGATATTCCCTAAGGACAATAGCTATCTAAATTTAAAAGGCAAACATATTAATAACTGATTGCTGTTTAGGTAGCACTGCTATAACTAAGATCCCCTCTGCTCAAAAACTAACATACCATTTGTGAACTCAATTAGTACACTTTATTTGCAGAGGGGGTGTTCTGACAAAAATTTATGCATGGTTTGAAGTGATGCAAGCATTGGCAAGTATTTTTCAAGATATCTAGTTAGTGTTACGAACTTTAACCGTGAGGTATCTATGAGAAGGAACTTGACTTCTGATAACAGAGATTCAGCTATGATTATGGTGGCAGTAGTATTGTGCCTTACCCAGAGAAACTGCCTTTCCCCAGAACCAGAGCTCAATGACTCTACATATAGCAAGAAATAGCTGAGAACTTGTACCATGCACAAGTGAATAGGGGACATTTCTTTTTAATTCATAAAATGAAGAAGTTGAATTACACATTCTATAAGCTGCTCCAAGCTACAGATAGCAATTAAATCTCTATTTTTTTTGTAATTATTATTTTTGGGTTTGAAGGCTAAGACATGTGAACCTGCTTATTTCCTTCTTGTGAACTGGTTCCAGAAGATTACAGTCTCTTTTAATCCCAAGAGCTGACCTTTCTGTAGATGTGGTTTCTTAGTAACCACAATGGTGTTCTTACAAGTATGCCATTAAATAGAACATTTTTAGAAAACAACATGACAGTGAATTTTATAGTGTGTAAAGTTTTATCACACTTACCCACACATCAATTTAAGTCTGAATTGAATTATATTACAAAACCAATGTGGCATATCACTAATGAGCGTGTTTGTGGCTTGTATAGGGTGCTGTCTATCAAGAACTATTACCCGAAGGCCAGAATCATCATACAGATTCTGCATTCCCATAACAAGGTACTATAAATTCCAGCCCCCTCAAGGGCCAGAGCTATGGAGCTACATGGAGCTTATTACTATCTAACGTGTTTACGAATTAGAAAAGGTTTGCAATGACAGGTGAAAGTTAGTCTCATTAAGATTGTTTATCACTTAAGGATGAAAACTGGGGTCATTTTGACCTGATTCTATAACTCCAACTATATTTATTTTTAAAATTGGGAGCAGTTGAGCCTTAACCACTTTCAAGTTCTGAATTTGTTCTTTTCAAGAGAAAATGATTTCAAGTAAATTAAATTAAAGATATCTATCCAAAATAGCTTTTATTTTTTTTGCGATCTGGGCATTCTTAGTTCCTGACCTACTTCATGCCATGAAACAGGCTTTGCTGCCAAAGATTCCCACCTGGAACTGGAGCTCCGGAGACAACATCATCTGCTTTGCTGAGCTGAAGCTTGGACTTATCGCACAGGGTTGCTTGGTACCAGGCTTGTGCACCTTTCTTACATCTCTATTTATTAAGCAAAACCAAAAGGTAACTTCTAAGTTGAGATTGACTTTTGGTTCTTCCCCATGTCCCATATATTAGGATCAGAAATAGAAAAAAAAAATTTGAGGAAAGCAAGAAGTCCCCAAGAAATGGGATTTGACTTCAACTTGAGCTGGTAAGGGATAAAGAGATCTAGATTGAAGTCACAGGTACTTCACTAGCTTAAAGAAGTCACTTGTCTTATTCTTACAGTATTTATCTGCAAAATCGAAATTACAGCTCTGCTTCCTACTTAAATTCCAGGAGATTATAATTATAAATTTATTTACAAATTTGGAAGCACTTTGAGTTATAGAAAATAAAAGATAAAGGTTGTCTTATTAATGGAGAAGTTATATTTACACATATATCAAATACAAAATAACTAGCATAATAATTTTATTAATCAAGTAGAAATGATAGGAATAATAATTAAAATCTCATTTCCAGATTATTTTAAGTAAAGTCTATGCAGAAATAAAAATAACAATGACCGTTTATTTAGTGCTCACAATGCATTGCATTTCTCCTCAATATTTTATTGGAGAAGCCCAGCAGTGGGCTGGGAATCTAACTGGATTGGACAGTTACTGACAGCATCTCAAGAATTATGTGGTCCACATTGTTACCACTATGTTCTATGCTCCTGCTCTTGGGTATCTACCCCTGAGTTCCCACATCAGGTCCTTCAATGCCTTTGTCTGAGACATTGTAAGAGACTAAAAGGGACCATTGGGCTGAATTTCCACAACATAAAGTGTGATCTTCAAGTATCATTCCTGTGAAAGACTCCAGGAGAAGTGCTCTAATCCTTGGCCAGGCCTGGTATTCTTTGTCCAAAAACCCTCCAGAGAGTGACCTTCCTCTCCCCTCAATTCTGAGTCCACATTTGCCAATTCATATACTCAATTGTCTCTTGGCCTCTTTGGACTTTATTTCCTCTGTTTCAAACACATTTTTGCATCTTTTCCTGTTCTTTACCTGGGGCTGTTAAGGAAGAGGAAAAGAGGTGAAAGATGTTCTGACCATCAAAATGCTAACTGGAATCAGTGGGAATCTTCTGAATTTCCCTCTGTGAATGTAAAGAAAGATAGCATACAGATAAGAAGAAACATCTATCAAGAGGGTAGGATGGAGCCTTGACACTGATAAAATAAACATGGTGTGACCAGTGGTCACTCAAAATGGCCGAGGTGACAGCTGTAAGGAAATCATCTTTGCCTGTGTAGTGTGCAGAGAGACCGACAGCATTTCAGTATCTATTTTGGTTATTGTAATCTTGATATACATGACTGGAGAAAATAAATGGAATGAAAACCTAATGACAATTTTGTCTGCTTTATGGAATATAAAAAGCAGAGATGTAAGGCCAATCCTACCCATGCTTTTCTTTCTTCTTTTTTAATCTGGAGGATGGTCACTTGCCAATATTCATCACAAGATGACTTTGAGAACACAGGAGATATTCATGGTTTCTCTATTTTTAAAATGAAGAGTCTAAAATGTACTTTCAGAAATCCTGACCTGTTTTGAGTGCTGTGCTGTCCTCTGGTGCTCTGCCATTGCTTCAGTTTCACAGCCAGGACTCCAGAGTTGTTCCTCCCATTTTTCTCAAATTAGGCACTCACTTTTCCTGAATCTTAGTTTCTCCATCCATAAAATGAGGGTTGGTAATCTCACGACTTTATTTTTCCAAGTATTGTGTTAGTATTTGTAAGCTTCTGAGTACTCAAATTAGAAGGCCTTGAATCAATGTCACATGTTTTAATTGTATTAATTATATCATGAGAAGTGGTAGTCTAAAAAGCATTACCAGTTGGCATCTGGTTTTATATAGTCTTAAATTTAGATTAGATCTAATCCATCTGGATTTTTTGAGCTCCCAGATTCTTCTGCCCCAAATCCATTTGTCCTTCTGTTTTCCTTTTTTTGATCTTTTAAAAACTCAGGATATCTTCTCTATCTCTGTGGTTACTTACCATTTTTTACCCTCTTTCAGAAAGTGAAACCTTTAAATTAGAAGAATTAAGCCATTATCTTTAGTAATTGGGGCTTAAATGGTAGTATGAGCTTCCCAGTGAGGAGCCCTCCCCAGGAGAGGTACCTCAACTGAGAGACCTGGGCACAGCAAGAGGGTGGGCAGGGGGCAAGGCAGAGCACTGAATTACCTGAAATTGATGCTACTCTTAGCAGGTTAATTCCCAGACCAGGGAATGACCACCTGAGGAGAATTTTTTAATCCACCATAACTCTCCCAGGGAGAGTACTTCAGAGAATCTAAAAATTTCAGACTTTCACCTGCAATTCTGGGCTTTAGGAATCTGTCATGTTCTTAGGGCAGCATGGTGGTGGTTCTTATGGCATGGGCAGGAGGACACACAGGTTACAAAGGCGCTACCCTCCAGCCTCCCCATGCTGCATCCACATCTCCATTTCTCTAGAGACTCACTGATGTCCCTGGTTTTTGCAATATCAATACCCCTGATCAGGGTGGTTCTTTCAATTCATTTGAACCGGTAAAACGATCTGATTCTGTGTAGAAACCACAGATTTTTTTTCTTTGTACTATGTGATTTATCAGTAGAAAACTTAGATGTTTGAGTGACAACTTAGATTCCATGTTGTACCTCTACTCTTAACTCAAAAAGCAAAACAAAACAAAACAAAAAATAACCTGCTGGGCTGAAGTTAGGAGTGCACAAAGAAAAAGAGGTCTACTTTCTTCCTTCCTTCCTACTTTCCTTCCTTCCTTCCTTCCTTGCTTCTTTCCTTCCTTCCTTCCTTCCTTTCTTCCTTCCTTCTTCCCTCCTTCCCTCCCTTTTGGTAATTCTGGGGTTTTAACTCAGGGCCTTGAACTTACTAGATAGATGCTCTACCACTTGAGCTGTGCCTCCAGATATTTTTTCCTTTAGCAATTTCTTTGGAGAGGGGCTCACATTTTTGCCTAGGGCTGGCCTTTGGCGGTGATCTCCCACCTGTTTCTCCCTCATAGCTTGGATTACAGGTATGCACCACCTCACCTGACTTGTTTGCTGAGATAATGAAGGTCTTACTAACTTTTTGCCTGGCCTGGCCTTGAAGGACCTTGATCTTCCTAATCTCCATCTCTGGAGCAGCTTGGATTATGGGCATGCAGCCCCTCACCCAACCCAAGAAGTCTAATTTCTAACAAGGAGACTTGGATACACTCTGGGAAGAAACTAAGTCACAAGGAATATGCTCGAGATCTTTAATGAAATAGTTGGGTTTTAGGTCTTCCGTTAACATTTCTCCACCAAAATAAATCTCCTTTATCTGACCTAGTGCAGTGGATCTGCTTTGCTGCTTAGAGTAGGATGCAACCAATGCAATTTGTGTCATAACGCCCTGTGCCCTGTGCCCTTGTGTTCCATGCTGCCTGATTGTCTATTCCAGGTTACTCCTAAACAGCCCTGGCAAAAGTCTTTTTTGAATGGCCTGAAGAACAAAATTGTGACTCAGCGTCTTTCAGATGACTTTGCTGGAATGAGTTTTCCTGAGGTTTCCCGGTAGGTTAAGTGAAATAAGTCATTCCCTTCATTCTTCATGTAACAGCACTCTCAACGCTTCATGGGAGGCTCACTGGAGGCCAGACTCCATTACACACCCTGGCGATGTAAGAATGAGCCACTCAGAGCTCCAGAACCTAACAGTTTATAAAGACACGTGGGACAATCTCACCTCTGACCCACCCTGGCTAAGAGCTACTTCATTTGGGTCACTTGCTAGTGGCAATAGATATTTGGGGGCGCCTTCCTCTGTGGAGATGCTGGTTTTCTCCCCAGCATGGAGCACAAGGGATGGGTGATATTCTTGTGAGTTCACCCCTGCCTGTCTTTCTCCTCACAACTCTTGTCTTCCTTTCCAGGTTCTGCTTTGTGAAGATGAACCTAATGCTGATAGCCATCGAGTACAAACCCCTCCTGCAGAGTGGTTTCTGGTACCTATAAACCTTATCAATTCAGTTCTTTTGAGGGGAATCTTTAAGATTAGGACTTTTCTAATGATGCAGCCATAACCAAGCTTTGGGCCCCTAGGCACCCAAATTCCCATTCTCGGGTGCCTTCAGCACTCTCTCTGACAAATGGAGTTCTAACAGTCTCCCATGTGGGTGAAGTTCATGTTAATCCCAGGGCCCTGCCTCAGTTCTGTCTTACAAATTGGGAAGAGAAGAAATAGCCACCTTGTCAGGGCTATTCCTTTAATGCCCTTGCTAGATCTTGGAAGTCTTGACTATGAAACAATGGAATAGAATTATTTCTGATAAATATACTCCCAAAATCTTACAAAATGGAAACTGGCCTACATAACAAAGTCTGCTGTTGATAGTGAAAAGCAAACATTTCCCAAGCATCCCGAGTGGATATGCTAAGAAGTAAGAGAAGTCATCATGCAATAAGAAAATGAAATCCAGGAAAACCAGAATGCATACAAACATAAGTGAGAGAATAGGATAGGGTGAGTCAACTATAATGACACAGAGATAAAAAAAAGATGCTGAAAAATGAGAAAATGTAGTGACTACATGCAAAAAGGATTAAGAAATGCTATTGAGCTGGCTCCTGTGAGTTTTTAGCAGAGAACTGACTCAAGCTAATTTGGAACCAACAGACTAAATTCTGATCCTGATTCTGATTTGTCAGTGCTGTGGCTTCATGAGGTGTTTTCTTCTTCATGTGCAGAACAAGGAAGTCAAGTTAATTCATCTCTGAGACCCCTACCACCTCCAAAACAGGAGTTAACAGGAATTCTAGAATTCTAGGGAAGCATTCACATTTTTGAAGTTTCACTCTATTTTATATAAATGGATGAGAAGGAAAGATTTCATATGAAAAGTTGGAGAAAAGAAAGATCTATCTGAATGAGAGGTTGTAGAGATGTTGGAGAGAATGAATCAGTGGGGTACCAGAGAAAGCATGTCCTTAAAAAGAGAGTAAGTCTTAGTGATGTCTGGCTGGATAAATTCTTTTTGACAATCCTGCCAAGGTCAAGAAAATCTCATTATCTAAGCTGGGCATGATGGTGCATGCCTGCAATCCCAGCACTCTGGAGACTGAGGCAGGAGATTTGAGAGTTTGAGGTCATCCTGCACTCCCAGAGAAAACTGAAAAGACAATTTCATGATAATCAATTTATGTTTGTAAACACCAGCTCAAATGGGCTCCTTATGGGAAGCAGGTCAGAGTGAAAAGGGTCATCTTACAGTCATAAACTGGGCAGTTTGACTTTCAGACTGACCTAAAACTTGACTGAATTTTAGTAATACCATTGACCTTCAAGAACCTGGAATATGCATCAAAATTATTTGTAAACTTCTGAAGACACAGATACTCCATCATCCTAGTTCTGACTCTGCAAACCAAAGCCTTTGAGGCTGGGGCTGAGAACATTTCTTAAGCCTGTATGACATAATCAATGTACTCACTGGCGTCTAGAAACTACTAGGCCACAAGTCATTTAGATTCCTTCCAAAGTTAAAGTCCTAGATTTCTGTGCCATTTATTGAGGTGACTGTTAGGGCAACACAGACTAGAAACGTGAGATTTACCAAATAGCTCATTTCTACAGACTCCAGAGGTCCCTGTGCTGTCACTACACTAGCTTCTTGCTGAAAGGTCAGGTGAACCAAAGAAATCAAATCCTGATTTCAGAAATGTATCAGTAGTAACAATCTTTCACATGACTGCCTTTTAAAATTTGTGTTTTATTTTTAAATTAGGATACATTAAGAATACATTGTAACAATTCCCTGCACGTGTTCAAGACCACCTTAAACATGACCACTCCGTCCTTCCCCCCTTTTTCAAACTGTTTGCGGGGGGGTTTCATTTGGTGGGTACATTAACTCTTGAATCCTCACAATAAAGCTGTGAGATGGGCCCACTGACTAGCCTCATTTTATAGAAGAGGACGCTGAGGCCCACGAAGGCTAAATAATTTTCCAGAGTGCACACAACTCACGGGTGACAAGGCCAGAATCTGAAAGCAGACAGTCTGGCTGTGAGGGCTGCTTCTGGCCACTGTGCTGTGCCAAATCCACTGCAGCATTAGACATCCCAATGTCTGGGTCTTGAGCCTGAGTATTCAGATGCTGAGAGAAAACCCATCTTTTATCAGCCTTCATTTCCTCTTCTAATTGGTGCACTTGACTAGATCCTGAGACTCGCAGAATCTTGCGCAGTCCTAAGGAGTCTGTTAGGGAATCATTTGTCACCTTCTCGTTACCTGGCCCTCATCATAATGTCATGAGTTCGTTCCAGTGGCAGACATACTTTCATAGATGAAGTGGGGATCAAGCACTAATTCCTGTTTCAGAAAATCCTCAAAAGAAGTTCACCTCTTCTCTCAAATGCAATCAGAGGTTATGATGTCACTTTTCAACCTTCTGCACAGATCAAGTGCAGATGGATTACTGTGAGTTTCCTCCTAGCCAGATATTAGCCTGAGTTCTGAGAAACCCCTGCTAAGAAAAAGAGGATATACAAGACATGGCGGGCATATGCTTGCTGGTTAATGGACATCAAGCAGTGATGCTGAGGGACTGCAGATCTATATTCTTTCCCTTTCAAAGTCAAAATCAATCATACTCTCATTAGTATGAGTGAGCAAATCCTCAGAAAATGTCATCCACTGTCTCCAGTGATAAGCTGCTGAGCTCAGCTCCTCAACCTCACCTACTGAAAGGCTTTTGTTATGACAGCTCTTTTGCGTTTGTGAAGATTCTCTCAGACTCAAGGTAGTATCCTAACTACTGAACCAGCCAGAACCAAGAGACCCTCATTCCAATGTGGGTACAAGAGAGGCAGTTTTTAAAGGCGGAGAGGAATGTTTTCATCATGCACAAAGGAAGTGAAGGAAGTTATAGAGTCAAAGAACTCACCATGCTGGAGGTATGAGTTAAAGAAACAAAAGACAGGACATCCTGACAAATGGGGAGAAACATAAGTACTTCAAAAACCATAATGCAGAGTTGCCTCAAGATGTGTCATGGGTAGAAATTTATAACACAGGATTTTTCAACAGAAACCATAAAGAAATAGAAATCAAAATGTTCAAATCAGGAAAAATAGTAATGTTTCATATGGCTCCTGCTCTCAAAGATCCTTGCCATCAAAATAGACAAAAACAAAGTCTAAAGGAATGCACAACTGTAAAAACAACAACAAAATACATTGTATGGGTAAAGAAAGAAAAGTAACAGCAGGACTGAGTATGCCCAGTCCTCTAATCCAGCTATTCAGGAGGTGGAAATTGGGATAAGGATCGTGATTAGAGACTAGCACAGACAAAAAGTTAGTGAGACCCCATCTCAACTGACAAGCCAGATATGGTATGTATCTGTAATACCAGCTATGCGGGAGGCATAGTAGAAGGATCATGGTCTGGGTTGGTCCCAGGCAAAAACACAAGATCCTATCTGAAAAATTACTGAAGCAAAAAAGGGCTGTGGTCATGGCTCATGTGATAGAGCTCTTACCAAGCAAATGTGAGGCCCTGGGGTCAAAACCCCAATCCTGCCTCTGAATTAACTACCGAAAAAAGAAATGGTTGAATCTAACATAAACCAGATGTAATATCATTTTAATGATGAGTGCCCTAAGAATGGACACACAGGCATGACTGCCAGACAGGCAACCATATGGCCATGCTTTCTATGCATTTCATAGCTTACACCAACCAGACATCATATGTCTGAGTCAGTTGCCCCATCTTAGATCAGACCCAGTCCAGAGAGGAACGACCCTCAGCTTGGCTGTGGATGCAGCTCAGCACTCAAGTTGCTACCTGGCTTCCCTCAGCATACTCAGCCACTTAATAAAGGAACCCTTAAACAAAGGAGTAAGTGTAGTCAAATTCGTATTTTCCACTGTGTTTGGCAGTACAAGGAAATTGAATCCTATTAACTTAGCAACTTAGAGAACCCGATGGTGATGACACAATGAAACACCAAATGTGGCCAGAGAAATCAGAGGCAAAAATTAACTGTCTTTTTCTTTTCCATTTCCAGTGGTCTGATTCTAAATCCACCTGTGCAAGTTAAGCTGCGTAAGAACACATTAGGATTCTTTATTGCTGAGTCTCTGAAAGAAGTCAGCAGGTAATTTCTTTATTATTTCATCGGGGGGAGGCACTAAAGCAAAGATAGCTTAATGGGAGGCAGGCTAAGTCAGCACCATGCCTCTTTAGCGTTAAGTCTCACACAAGTCACTCTTGATTTGCCTTCATTGTCCAGAGCCTTCTTTTACTGTTCCAACTGTCACAGAGATGTCTCCTCTCCTGAACTAATTACAAAATGTGGCTGCAGAAGCAGGAGCCGGCAGCACCTCTCAGGTAATTGGACTTTACATCGAGCCTAGGAAAGAGAAGAGGGTTCCAGTACTTGAACTTGGCTGAAATGAGGCATATGTTTTCCCACTGGGGATCTAAGACCTGAAAATTGGTCTTTTACAGCTGAAAGAGACCTTTCAGTTATCCAATTCAACTCCCTTATACGCCAAGAGAATGTATTCCAAAAGAGATGGAGCAATGCTGTCCAGAGTCACATACCCAGAGACAACCACCGCCAAACTGTCCTGCATATGCTGACTTTCAGCTTGTTGCTTTCGATGATTGCAGGGCACTTTTCCCAACTTCAGTCTGAAAATTCAGCCTGTATTTGACTGCTTGGTTGACCACAAGGATGCCACCTTCTGGCCATCCTTAACGGATGATGGGCAGTTTCAAGTTCATTCATTCTGGCACAGTGACAGGGAACAGAAATTTCTCCAACTGAACTCCATGGCTTACCAACAGCCCTTCCCACTTAAATGCAGGGAAAGAAAAATTAATCCCAAATATTTATCATCACACATCCATTCTGCTTTGAAAGTTACTCTCTTCCACATGCATTCATGTCCTTTGAGTAAACCCCCAGTGTTTCCAAATTTAAACTTAATCAATTCAAAATGTGAGTTCTTGTTTCTAAGACTCTTATTATCTCCTTGTCTGCAGAACGGTAAGTGAGTGCAGAAGTCACCATCATGGTTGTTCTCCCTGAGCTCCTTAAGGAATGAATTTCTCATTACCTTAGGCCTGTGATTGTCACCTTTTGTGACCTCCAGGTCCGACAACCAATGACTCTGCTCCTTCTGGCTGGGGGTCATCTGAGGTTTGTCACTGAAATCCATCTCCATACCACAGCCTCTGAGATATGAGGTCTGCATACCTCTCCTTTTCAGAACCCCTAGTCTGTGCATTCCAGTTGTTACAATGGTCCCTCTGCTGCTTGGGATATTTCAGCCTTCCCATGTGTGAATGTCTGACAAGATGTGGGAACCTGGGTGGGCATCTTCCTAAGCTTTCCTCTTGATCAAACACATGTGCCGCAATGTCTCTGCCTCTAGTTACCTAGTGTTCTTCCTGCACACACCTCTAAGCACAGTCCCCGAGAGCCCAAAGGCAGGGCAGACCTCTCTGTCATCCTCCCCTCTTGCTTTGTCACCTCTCACCAGCTTGAAGCACTACGTGTGAGTGCACAGTTTGGAGACTGGGTCCTTTCTCGGGGATATAATTAAAATGCTATGAAATAAATACCATATTCACTCAAAGTATACAATCCAGTGGGTTTTAGCTTATGAACAGAATTGTGCAATCCTCACAACAGTCCATTTTAGAACATTTTTTGCCTCAAAAAGAAACTGTACCCAAGAGCAGTCACCCAGACCCTTGGAAACCACCACTCTACTTTCTGTCTGTATGGATTTGCCTGCTCTATTCATTGCATAAAAAGGGGAATTACACAGCATGGAGCCTTTTGTGTCTGGCTGCTTTTACTCAACAGTGATGGCATGTATCAATACCTCATTTCTTTTTATGGCTGAATAATATTCTATTGTATAGACATACTTCATTTGTTTAGCCATTGGCTTGTTAATGAATATTTGGACTATTTCCACATTTTAGATAATGTGTACAATGCTAATGTGAACTTTGCTATACAAATATCTGTTCAAGTTCCTGTTTTTAGATTTTTCTGTATACATACTCAGAAGTGGATTGCTAAGTCAGATGTTAGTTCTATATTTTAATTTTTTGAGGAACCATCATACTGTTTTCCATAGTAGGTACACCATTTTACATTCTTACTAGCAATGCACAAAGGGTTCAATTTCTTCACATTGTCATCAACACTCTTTAATTTCCATGCTTTTGTCTTGTTTTTCAATAGTAATAATCTTAATGGATGTAAAGTTATATCTCTTTATGGTTTTGACTTGAATTTCTCTAATGAGTGATGATATTTTTATGAAGATCTTATTGGCCATTTATATATCTTCTTTGAAGAAGTATCTATTGCAACCTATTTTAATTGGGTTAATATCTTCTATTTTTGAATTGTATGAGGTCTTTATATATTCTAAATACATGTCCCTTGTCATGTATTTATACCAAATATTTTCTCCCATCTGTAGTTTGCGTTTTCATTTTCTTTATATACTTTGAAGCACAAACAATTTTAATTTTATTAAAGTGCAATGATGTGTTTTCTTTACTTTTATCACTTGTGCTTTTGTACAATTTATCTATGAAGGTTTTGACCAACCTAATATCATAAAAATTTGCTTGGAGAATTTTATTTTTTTTGTCTCTTACATGTAGATTTATGTTCCATTTTGAGCTGATTTTTGTGTATGATGTAAGGAAAAGATTCAACATCTTTTTTTCAGTGTGAACATCCAGTTGTCCCAGAACAATCTGTTCAAGAGACCATTCCTTCCCCATGGAACCACAGCATTCTTGTCAAAAGATTAATTGACTATAATTGTGTAGTATATTTCTGGAGCCATAATTCTCTTCCATCAGTTTTTATATCTAGCCTTTTACCAGCACCATACTGTCTTGGTTATTATAGTTTTTACTAAGTTTTTAAATTTAAAATCTTTTTCAAGATTACTTTGATTATTCTGTATTTCTGCACTTACATATGAATTTTAAGATCAGCATGTGGATTTCTGAAAGGAAGTCAGCTGGGATTTTGACTGTAATTGTGTTGACTCTGTAAGTCAATTTTGAAGACGTTAATATCACTCCTACAGAATCTATAAACATGTGACACCTTTACATCTGCTTAGGTTTTTAATTTTTCTCCACAATATGTTGTACTTTTCAGATTACAAGTTTTATACTGCTCTTTTTAAACCAATTACTGTTTTATTTTTATTATTATAAATGAAATTGTTTTCTTAGTTTTATTTTCAGATAGTGTTAGTGTATAGAAATACAATTGATTTTTGTATTCTGCAACCTTGCTGAAATATTTATTAGTTCTAATACTTTTGAAAAGTGCCTTCTATTTAATTTCTTGCTTAATTGCCCCAGGGGAACATCCAGTCCAAGGTTGAACTGAGGTGGTAAGACCATCCATCCTTACTTTATTCTCACCTTAAGGGGAAAGCATTCAATCTTTCACCACTAGGTATGGTGTTAACAGTGCGATTTTCATAGATGCCTTTTACCTGGCTGAGAAAGCTCTCTATTCCTAAATTTTTGATGTGTTTCTTCACTCTCTCATGAAAGGTTTTGAGTTTTGTTTGTTTTCTTTTTTTCCTCCATTTTCCTTTTCTTTATTAAGATAACCATGTGGTTTTGGTCTTTTATTCCATTGGTGTGGTGTATTTCATTAATTGATTTTCAGATGCTAACCCAAACTTGTGTTCCTTAGGTGAATTCCACTTGGTCAAGTGGGAAATCATTTTTGTGCTTCACTGGGTTTGGTTTGCTAGCATTCTGCTGAGATATCCTGCGTCTGTGTTCAATAGAGATGCTGCTTTCAGTTTCCTTTTCTTGTGATGTCTTTGTCTGCTTTTGCCATCTGGGTAAAACTTGTCCCATAGAGAAAATTGGGAAGTATCCATCACTTTTTTTTTTTTTTTGCAAGAGCTTGTAAAGGATTAACATGCATTCTTCTTTAAGCTTCTACTAGATGCTTGCATCTGCTTGTATCTTGCTAGTTAGGCAGTCTAGGACTAACTTTACTTTTTTATTGTTAATTTGATTTCTTTATTTGCATTAAGTTACTCAGAATTTTAAATTCTTCTTGAAAGTTTTGGTAGTTTATCTAAGAATTTGTTAGTTTATGCTATCAAATCTGTCAACAAAATATTTTGTATGCAAATATTTCTTGACATTTCTTTTTATTTTTGTCATCAGTAATCCCTCTTTTATCGCAGATTTTAGTAATCTGATTTAAGTAATAATGCTCCGTCTTTTTTGTGGCCAGGCTTGCTAAAATGTTATTTACCTTTACTGATCTTTTCAAAGAAACAACTGTTGATTAATTAATTTTTCTCTATTGTTCTTTTTGTTTTTCAGTACTGCAGACTGAATTTAGGGCCTCAAGAACCATTCTACCACTTATGCCATGCCCCCAGTACTTTTAATTTTAACTTGGTTTTTTTTTTCAGATAGAATCCCACACTAACTGTTATGGGGTGATATCAAACCGTGATCCACCTGTCTCTGCCTCCTGAACAGCTGGGATTACAGATGTGTATCACTATGCCTGGCTAATCAAGTTTTCTTATTCTTGAATTAATTTATTTCCTCTTTATTGTTTTGATTATTTCCTTCTTTCTGATTTGTCTTTCCTTTACAGTGTCTCAATATAAGTGTGACCATCAACATAGATCTGTAACTATTCCTTTGCCCACTGATCTTTTAAGTCAGATAGAAAAAAAGGAATTAAAATGTGTATATATGTGCATATATATTTAATCACATTTATCCTAGTACAATTCTGAGCTTTCTCGGGGGAGATCTCTATGAAAAGCCCCTTTTCTCTATGGAGGATTTATATTTTTTTGTTTCTTTCATGTCTCATAGCATTTTGTTGATAACTCACACTGCAGTTATTACATTGTGGCAGTTATGGAAAAGAAAAATCTTCCACCTCTTTCCCTGGTATTTTTGGCCTTGTAGTTATCATTTTCTATAAGTAGTTATTCATTTTCTTGTAGTTATTCATTTTCAGAGATACAGAATCTGTATCTCTGTCATTTGTGGCCAATAGATGCTCCACTATCTCAGTGGTCCACTTATAATTACACAGACATTCTGTTGGACACTCAGAATCAATAAAACTACCACTGCTTGTTAAGGGGTTCTGTGTTTGCATTGGGGCACACTCCAATATTCAGCTACACAGTTGATAACTTTGCTCTTGCCTTCACCTCCTGTTTGCACAGCATCTCAAGGCCAGTCAGAGGCACGAGCTTATGGCTATCTTGGGCCTTTCTGAGCTCACACACAGCTAGGCATGTGTGTTGTTTAGATTCCCAGGAATTTTCAAAGTCCCTGTGGACATTTCATTCTTCACTTTTCTCTTAAAGTTTTTATTTTTAGTCTATTGTTTTCCCATTATGTATTGACTCAGGTTCCTATAATGTTAAAATATGGGGTAGCACTCCCGGGGAGAGAATGTTAGTAGTAAGTTCAAGTATGGCTTAAAGAAATGCCATTCAAGTATATTTATCCAGGGAACCAACAGGCAAGACTGGAGTTTTGAAAGAATCCCAGTTTTGCTCTACTTCTCTGGTACCTAGATTATGGGGAAGCTGAGATGCAGGGATGGACTTCTGTAAATTAAAGCACCACAGATCTTGCTGTTTTTATTAAGTATATTTATTTTTCTTGACTAAGTATTTCTAAGTTGATAGTGATTAATTTTCTGAGATCTGAAATAAAATATTGTGAATTGTTGCCAGTATTTTCTGTGTTTTACAGAAGGGAACATTCTGAGGTCCTTTTTCTACCATTTTTTCCTAGTGCTTGTCTTCATCTTTTAAAAACAGTCTTGCTGGGTATAGAATTGTTGGTTGGTAGTTTATGTCATTTCAGTGCCTGTTGCCTCCATTCTTTCTGATGAGAAGTCAGCTATAAATCATATTGGGTTTCACTTCTAAATCCCATTTTGTTTTTTTCTTATATTCTTTCAGGATTTTCTTCATGGATTTGGCT